GTGCTGTTTCCCATGCCCAATTCGGAGTGGCGTAAACAGAGAGGTGGCCACCCCTTGACTTGGCAGAGGAGCATGAAGGAGATCACGAAACGCTTGGGTGCCGTCGGTGCTACTCTCCTTCCAGGATGGGGACCGCATGATCTTCACTGTGCCTGGTTGGATACACTACAAGATATGGCTGCCAACCGATGTCAGTGGCGTTCTTGTTGTCAGTTTCTCTCCAGATTGCCTGAGTGAGTGTCTGGAGGTTTAGGTACCTGCGAATGATTGTGTTAAGCTAGCAGTAAGTCCCTCCCCCATCCACCTTTATTCTTTTCTTTACAATAAGGCTTTCAAATAAGTCATGGTTGTACGGCAGTGAAGCATCGGTGTTGACCACTGATGGCATGCTGTCAATGATGATGATGATGATGATCTTGATGTTCAACGGAGAAATTCTGCTAGTGGGAACTGCGCGAGGCGTCACACAACCTTGGCTTTAGCTACATGATGGACCAGCTTTAATACACCTTGAAGTACACCTGCCCTAATGCACCTGACCCTAAAGGTCAGATACAACGTACCTGGCAATGATTCATCGTTAAAATACTGGGCGTTGAATCCTAATGAGGCTCATAGGGGGATACTGGTGATGTGGAGTTACTGTTGAGTACTTTAAAGGAAAATGTAATGCACAACTTTGTTACTATTGATAGTACTCACGAATCATCGTTGTGCTCAGCAGATTCCATGCCCTCAGGTAAGTATTTGGGCGTGTGGAATGTACTTGGAGTTAGGTCGAGCGGAAAATCAAGGTCAACAGTAGGCAAACGATCGCCGTCATCATCCTCACCGCCATCGGCAGAAGGAGGAGCAGGTAGCGATTCTGAAGAGAAATCCGAAGGGCGGAGAGGGTGAAGGTCTTCATTGTCATCTTCCGGAGCTTGGTGTACGATATCTTCTCCCATTTCTCCAACGGTTTCGGGACTAAGAAAAAATGGAAGTTGTCGGTGGCAAAAATGAACTTGATGAAAACACTCATTACAACGATGAGGAAGATGAGTAGCCGGGGGAAATGATCGCTGGCGAAGCTGTTCGAGTGGAAACAGTTCAGTATCCTGAGAACCTGGCTGTAACTAATCGCGGACACACATTGTGGTTGTTCCTCCACTACGACTAATTTTGTAAAACGCGTATGTGGCAGGAAATCCCTAGTTTGAACGCTGGCGTCTGGTTTTTGATGATCATGCGAAACTAGTGGTACGATCCATTACTCAGAAGTACAGTGCTGCATATCTTCGGTTTAAAAATTGTGGTGCCATCCATCATAACGGATGTTCTATTATAATTTTGCAGATAAAATACGTCACAATGCGAACGGTGCAAGTGAGGATTGTCCATAGTTGGCACGAGAGCCCTATTAACATCAGGGTTGACGTCCGTGGCCTAAAGTGAAATCATCATAATAACAGGAAGTTCTCACAATATCAAAAGCGGATAACCATGCCAAGTTTGAAATATCACGAACATGAAGTTGTGCCAAAGTTCGTGGTACGTTTTTATACTGTTATCCTTAACTTGGTATCGCTTTACTCCGTAAGTGCATCCTAACCGACAAGCAATCGTTTTCTACATCATCCATTGTAATCACTCATTGAGAACTCTGATATGCTAGTATGAGATTGGTGAGTATCGAATCGTCAGAGTTATAGAAAGACGAAAAAGTTAAGTTGAATCAGAAAAATTGTCACGTGAAAGGAAAAAAACCGAATGCGCTCCACTGTAGTGTTTAGGGTGGTTGGTTACACAGTGAACTTTAGCTGAGACGGTTGTTAAGTTTGGATTAACGTCGGCTCGAAATATTCAGCACAACATATTCATGTACAAAGAGAAAGTGAACTTCAATACGGTTGAATGCGACATTAGTGTTACGCAGCACCGGATGGACTTTTACATGTACTATCAGAATTGATAATACTAAAATACAACCATATAACTACATACGAGATTCTTATGAAGATATCTGTTGGAAATATGGATAAATTAAGAAAGCTGTGGAACAACTTCCCTCGGAAAGAACCCTACCGAGGAGAATTTCGGTATACTCGACGAGGTATTATTAAAAGAAAGGATAATGTATCTACAAACTGTGATGTATCTGCATGAATATCTAGAAGTAATCAGCAGAATCGGATCGAGAGTTCGAGTGTCAGTTAATTTGGAGGAGAGGGGTCTCCTTATTTTTGTGAAAAGGCAATAGTGGACAATTGCTCAGGTATTGAACACAATACTGCGAAGGAGCACACACAAGGTTACTGAAAATTTTTCGATAGCCCACGACCACTTTCGCCCTTCTTGGAGCTTAGTAATCAAGCGCAGTTCCCGACTTTCACTCAACATTATGTTCCACTTGGAAATTAAACTGAACGCAGCTGGCGAAAAACATTGATTTACAAATTAAATTGGTGTAGTAGTACCTCTCGTCAATAAAAATATACTGCGATGTGTTGAATAGTGTACTAAATGAAATCTGAGGTAGACTTTGTGCAGCACTATCAGTCGAAGAAGAAACGTGGACGGGAGGTTTAGTTGGGATTCGGTCGAGCATCCGGTTACCTCGAGGTTAATTTGCAAATGGGTGCATTCCGCCGAAACGAAAAAGGCTAGAGATCACGCAAAACAAAAACACTCTTTGATGGCAGGAAGGCATGCCCGTATTGTCAACATTTTGACAGACAGTATCCGGGTGTAGACGACATTCGTAATTGATAACTCTAAATATCCACATATTCGTGAGTACGAAATCGAACAGGAGGTTTGCCGTAGTACGTCAAGGTTTCATGGAGCTGGTGTTACTGATAATACGGGAACATAAACAGCAAGTGATTGTAAGACAACCTACAACTGGAAATACTCGGGCTTTAAAACGTCAAATGACAATTTACTCACTGAGAACAAACAGTGAGGGATAAAAAAATACTTACAAGTGTGTTTCTTCGGCAACAGAGGTGGGCAGAAGCTGATCCGGGTTCTGAAAAAGATTATTCGTTCATGCTCTGAATGTGCTAAGGCCACCGTTTTCATTTTTGCGTTTTTTTCTTTTACATATATTGACTTTAGAGTATCTCAGGATTAAAATGTGCCAGTCGTGAAACGGAATTATTACAAACATAGGACTCCAAACATATAAGATGGCCCCTCTATCAATATCTATTACAATTGTATAAGTGTCGTTCAGGAGGGCGGGGGGCACACTGAGACGATTAAAACGACCGCAAGCTACCCGTACGATACAGCAGAGGAAGAGTATGCTATTGGAAGTACGCTCGAAACACACATACTTTTGGACCTAAAGAGGTGGGTAAGCGAATATGGTATGAGTTGTGCACGGATCTTGCAATTAACCAGGCATCGGAATGTGGCATGTGCTAAACAGACAGTTAGAGGCTTGAAATCTACAGCCCTTTGATTGTCACTATGTCTAACATTTGACTGATTCATGAAATCGAAAGAAAATATATAGCGACACGTGGTCGGATAGGGTGCAACAAACAGGCCGACGTCACGTACGTACTGTACGCGAGAAAAACGTACCGAAATTCAATCGTTTTAGCCAAGTTTAGTCAACCGTTTGAATGTGTAGTAACACCGCCCCAAATTAAAAAAAATTACTACACAGTGTTCTACAGATAAACATGAGAATTTCGGGTGACAAATCCATATTTATTAATTGTCGGCAACGGTAAAAGTGGAACTATCGGTCACCAACGACAGGGCAGGCGTTTCATTGTATTGTACACTTCATCTTTCATTCAAGAGGTGAGTAGGTCAACAGAGTAAGAAAAATTAACAAGTAATTACACGTGATTACAGTGACGAATTCGCAGGCAACTTCTCACATGGGGATACACTATCGGTCAGAACTAGCCATTGAGCGTTGTTCTGAGGTCGTTGGGCAACAAAAGGCAGCATCAACCGGATATTTTCAAAAACATCGAGGGTACTCGTGCTGCGTGTTTCTATTCGACTCGTAATTGGTTAGACTATATTCGGGACTGTGTGTAACATATGGCATGAACTGTTGGCCAAGGCTAACTTCAATTTGGAGTTAGCTCCAGACCCGGACGAACTGAAAGTATCCAAACCCCAACGCTTCCTACGGTCCGGTTGGATGGCGATGAACACAGCCACACGATTTCAGCGGAATATACTGCATTATTATTGGAAGACCTTCTGGGATCTACTGGGCAGCTGGAGTTGCAGCACAGATGGTCGCTACGAGATCGAAATGGCTGAGAACCAATGATAGCATGATTTCCGAGGCCTACCTGAAAAGTTTCGTAGGAACCACCAATGGTAAAGCGCACAGGTTCCGATACTGGTTCACTGGGATCCACTTGCGAAGACTTGACGGAGTCCTCAACGGTTTGTACATTGTTCGCTACGGATTTCGAGACACAAAAATCGGTTTACAATGGGTCCACTGGACACAACGACATGCAACGGTTTGGTGGCAAAAACGGCGAGCAGTGTTCATGCGAACAAACCAGACTTAAGTGGGGACCATAGGTAAGAAAGAAAATTAACCGGCATCTCATCATCAAATCAACACTTAAGCAAAGGGGTATGAACACAGGAAGCCACTCCACCGGAAGTCTCTTACGAAACGACGGCTATTTGAGACGAATAACTCAAACAGACGTTACCAAGACTCCTGAAGTAAAAGATGAGCAAAGGTAAAAACGAAGACACTGACTCTACCACCGTTCCAAAACATATTTATAGCGCCTAAAAATGTGACCAAAACCAAGCATATGGGGAATTTTTCCGGAAGCAACTGAAGTTTCTCTACCGTGAACACTGGTATCGTTCGAGCGCAGTTTCGAATGAGAGTCAACATAGCGAACGAATCCAGAGGCGTGAAAACGATACGAAGTCGATAATAAAAAAGAGTAATACTGGTACGAGCGGTCTTTGTGGATTTGGCCTAAAAGCGTTTGTTTGATAAAGCTACAAACCGCTTATGTTAGTTGGGCTCTTATTGACAGCCTGTATCCACTTAGTCCGGCAGAATGGTTGGAGGTCTAAGGCATCGAAATCCCGCCAATGATAACTTTTTTCCTTCGGCAAGGTCTTCTTTAAAAACGGTGTAACTGCATGCCAGTCAAGCACCAGCACTCAAGGCTACGGTTGAAGACTGCAGGCTACAAAACGAACAGTACAATCAACAATCGGAGTTCTGGAGTGCGCTAGCTGGATTGACATCGGGAGGACACGCTCACAAAATTAGCAAGCTACTGCACAATTAAGCACGTACCTTCAGCGTCTGGCTTGGTCCAATGCGGTAGTTCAAACGTTATAGTTCCGTTCAGCAAGTGCCTAAAAAGTGGATTATCGCAAGAAAGTAAGCGGCGCAGATTATGGAATTAAAAGCAGTTGATGATGTGCTACTTCTAGTAGATACTATGACAAACCACAAATGATTTGAGTGATGAATCCGGAGCGAAGCAAGGTGAACTGTTATGCATATCAAGTGAAAAAAGGCAATGCTCGCACGTGACAACAACTCACAAACGACATAAGGAAAGCACGCATCTTAACTCAAAGTCACTAGAATTTAACATCAGGTTATTCGGTAGAATTAGGGCGAAAAGAAGGAAGCATGAGGGCTGAGATACTACCAGGTTGCCCAAGCGTAGACAGGGGAAGTCAGGAGGCAGAGTCGGGTTCGAACCATGGACCGAACAGTAAATTCGCACTCTAACCACTGAGCAATGTGGCGAAAAAGCAGCGAAAGAGGACTACATGTATCAACAAAACCTCGATAACCACTGAAATAATTAATAACATAAGGGATAGTTGAAATAACTGATATTAGCGAAACGGTCGATGTCAACACGCGTAATAAATTAAAGCCAATCTATGTTTGAAAACCTAGAAACACTGCACAGCTGTTTCGTCCTTATTGGAGATTATCAGAAGAGCGCATCTCACGAAAATCCAGAGTCCAAGACTCGCGACCTCTCGGTTATAGGGTGAACACGTGACCGTTCGGCGACGAGCGCCTGATCAGTACTGTGGCTAAATTGTAAGTAGATAGGATATACTGCCACTGATCCTTCAGTTATATCTTGTGGTCAGACATGGTAACTGGCTCGTCGAGGGACAACTTCATCCTGGCAATTACAAGACAACATAAAAGGATTCCGAAGAAAATCTGTTTCACGTGATCGGAAGCTTTCAGTCTATGAACTCTAAAGTGAGTGAAAATACCCGTGAGAGAGAGAGAGAGAGAGAGTTAAGAACAAAAGTAGCGAACAGGTCTGCTTTCCGTGAGTGATCCTCACAAATCTACGTGGTAACAGAAAACATGTGAAGCAGCTACGAGAAAACGATGGGTACATACTCATTATTGAAATCAAAAGAAGAATGAGAAGAAGAAGGTTGAATGGGAGGTACAAAGATGAAGGCGTCTCGCAATCAATTATGACGTTAATGTCGGGCAAGTTAGTGAGATCGCATTTTTTGGAGACCAGCTCGGATTTATTCTGGGTTCAAAGTTGTGGGTCATGCATCTGGATTCCAGTACCAACCATGAACTTTCACTCTTTTTATGAACCTTGGTGGTGCCTCATTTCTATGCGACAGTTTGCCATAAAAAATCACACTTACCAGCATACTTCCCATATCCGTGAGAACATGTTAAACAATATAAAAGCCCGCGTATGTTGAACTAAACAAGAAACCAGTGCTCAGTCTGGAGAATATGACAATCCTATTCCGGATGTATCTACCACATTCGGTCTAACCACTCGCATCCGCGCGGGTCAGGGGCCCATTAGCCGCACAATGCTCTTCGCCGCAAAACGTTTGCGAGTGGAATAAAACTTTTTACGCCAAAATATTGCTTTTTTTGGGTATGTGCTCACAACAAAAAACATCCTAATCTACGCTCATATTTTCGCAGCTCACCAAATTTCATTGTCGACTGAAGCAATCATACCTGTGACGGAAAAGTATGGTGGAATAATCTACCAGCCTCGCTGAGACCCCGAGATGCCTAGATGAGGCTCAAAGAGTGAGTTGGTACCCTCAACTCAATCACCTGTCTCTTTTGGTCCAACAGGGACACGTCGTGCGAATGCTGAGTGCCCGCGGATCATAACAACCGTGCGGTGCCCATTATCGGCACAATGCTCTCAGCTGCAAAACCTCTACAAGTGCAGTGAATCTTTCTACGCCAAGATATCGCCTATGTGCACAAACCAAAAGCCGTCCTAATCTACACTCATATTTTTGCAGCTCACCACCTGACTGAAGAGTCCCGTGGGAGAATTTCCTGGCATCGCTGAGAGCCCTGGATGCCTAAATGGAGCCTAAAAGTCTGGACTGGTACTCTCAACTCAATTGTTCGACTGCTTTAGTCCAACAGGGACACGCCACAACTTTCGAAACTTCAACTCCATTGTGCGAATACCGAGCGCCTAACCGTGCAGCATTCAAACCCCCGTATTTGTCAGGGCGCAAGTCAACTGTGTGCACTTTAAGCGTCTTAAATATGGGCTTTGTGTAGTGCCAACATACTGGAAAAAAAGCCACAGTAACAGCGAATCAAAGAATCACATGACCAGTGCGAGGTACGCCAAAAGAGTTGTGGTTGCTAACTCAGTGGGGCACAGAGTGCACATGAATGCCTGTACCCATTTCCATCGATTAATCGATGTGACACACGAAATTCTAGTGTTTAAGTAACAAAAATTTTGACTATGCAAAGTGCTACACACGGCAGTGAAGACATCTAATGTTATGTTTAATGACGACTAGTTCCAGCTCGTTGAAAAATCCCAGGGGATGCGAAGGAACTGTCATCATCATCATCGACAGCATGACATCAGTGTTCATCTTTCGCGAGACGAAGTCGGGCAGGCAGCACTGAACGCCGCTAGTATAGCTCCTTTCACATTTTGCCACGCTTCAACCACATGTTCACTGCCACCACAGTATTTTTTTACTGTGAAGAGTTGTTGGGCTAGCTCAGATCGATACTGTTGAGCTATGGCAGTTCTTCGAAGATAGTGGATTGGCATGTTTCTTGCCGACTTGCGAGGGCCTGAAGGGAAACGAACTGTCAGGCGTGCGCGCACCATGGCGTGATCGGAATCAAGTGGTGTGCCCCAGAAGGAACGGCAGTCTTGAATTGTGGCTCTCCACCGGTGACTGATGGCCACGTGGTCCAACTGGGTCCACGGTGGATTTGCAGTTGGCGGCCGCCAGGTTACGCGGTGCGAACGTTTATGTTGAAAGTTCGTACTTGCCAGAAACAGTTCTTGATCAGCACACAACTGAAGGAGTCGATCTCCGTTGTCTGTGCTGCGAGCATCGACTCCGAATCGACCACCCAAATGTGATTCCGAGGAGCTCAGACGATCTACTTGAGCATTCAAATCGCCTGCAAGGATCACAATGTCAGTGCTTTTTGCCTGACGGATGAGCCTGAGTAGCTATCGACAGAAAGTATCCTTCTCCGCATCAGAACTGCAGTCCGTTGGGGCATAAGCCGATACGACAAACAGGCACCGCTTTTATGCCGCTAGGTATTGAGCTTGATTGAACTAGATAACCGGACGGCGCAGAGACAACTGTTCACTGGGATCCAATCCAGCAAAGCGCGTTCAGCTCTGGGTCTGAGTGCAACTCCCAAGTCATATATTCCACGAGTCATGGCTTCTGAGTCACCAGACACACGTCACTAACAGAATCAGTTGCGTTACGGGGAGAGAGAGATGCATCTGAGAAACTTTCGGGCAATACAAATAGGAAAATGAACATTATGCCTGAAACTCTCCGAACATATCCGAAGAGAGGACACTAGAATGGCGGAAAGCGGAAACGAGGAAGGGGTGGAATACGTTGAGTGATGGCAGGCGTACTCGACAAGGTGATATAGGAATGTTTACCCACACCACACCAACAAAAATTTATCTCCCAAAGACACCCCAAATAATTAGCATCATCTTACAATGACGAATGTCACGAGCGACAACGCAACTTTCAAGGAGAACCAAATGATAAGTATACATTGAAAGTTGCACCCGTTGAATAGTATCACCAAGGCATCTGCCTTCGCCTCAGAGAGACTGAAAGTTGCCTCAGTACGAGAGTTCGTTTACCTCTATGAAGAATGAGTAACATTGGACGAGGACTAATGAACACAGTCTTTTGGCTCTCGAGGTTGCAGAAGGAACATGTACGTAACAATTAATTCTACTGTGATGACCCGCCAGCATCCGCTCGCTGCCCTTAGGTCATACTTTCGAAGCATAGTATTTGAGGTCGTCCTCCTGTTTAGGTCTGGGTGTCTTGAAAATAATCCAAGCCCGTGTACGATCATGAGCTTCACAACCAGAAGGAATTTCAGGCTACATCACACGCTGTGTAGTACTACCAACCATCGCCTCCTAATGGCTGTATCCAGAAAAAAACGAAAACGTGTTGCTGCTTCACCCCATGAATAGTACTCCTTCAACAGGTCCCCGATAGCGATGACAAAAAAACGGTTCACTTGTGATGTCTCTTCAGTAAAAAGCTAACGTGCGACATGACGACTGGAAGGCTCCCAGGTTAACCGAGCCTAGAAAGGAACAGTGGAGAGACCATGGTCGGGTCCAAACGACAGATCTTTCTTTAAGTAGCTTTGTGCCAAGCTTTGGCCCAAGTGGTTAGAGCGCTAATTTACAGACCGGAAAGTCCGTGGTTCGAATCCGACCTCTGACTCTCGACTTCTCCTGTTTAGGCTTGGGCAACCTGGCAGTATCCCAACCCTCGTGCAAACTCCGGGTGGCATGGCAGTTAGGCACCGAAAGGGTGAGACAGCTGAACGATGTGCCTTAACCACTGACACACCTTGAGCAATCACATTGTCGAGGACCGGTAACTATTTGTGCCTCTTCTGGAGTACTCGAGTATGAATCTGTCCTTGGACGGTATTCTCTGGCGCCCTCTAGGTTTATATACAATTCACACAATCTACTTGACCTCTGACATGGTGACCCAAAAGGCATATCCCACAACCCTTGTTCAACCCCCCAGCGAATATTAGCTATAAATGGAGTGAGATTGCAGTGAGATCGCCGAAGCTGTATGCTTCAAAGGAACTACTGTCTGCCGTACAGTCCCGTCAGTTTATTCAAGCCTTGTTTTTCTGCTACGTGTGTAGCTTTGGAGGACTGAAGACATTGGCTAAGCATCAGTAGACGCTAGGTGAAGCTGGTCTTACGTGCAGACCGGAGACCCTGATTGGTCCAAAAAGCTGAAGAAGTGAAACATGCTGAAAATTCACGCAACAGATATTCGGGAATATCCTGTCCGTACGGACACCGAAACCCGAGAAGTATTTCAGGTCCCCAAAAAGGAAAAACGATCGGGTCGATGGGCTTAGTTTGAGGACAGTTCAGTAGGCCAAATACTGTCTTTCATCCAGCCTGTCAGTGAAATAAACGTGAACTGTGAGTTTGGAACCTCGGGTAGCGCCGGAAGCCTCACCGAGCCTTAGATTCTTGTGATGTTGTGTTCCCTCTGCTCAAAGAAGGCGGTGAATTTCCTGGCCAGTGCGTGTGAAAATTATATCCTTCTATCTTGGAGAAAGAGGCCTTCCGAGGCAATAGGAACGAGTTTCCAATAGTGCTCGGTTAACAGTAGAGGCATCTGTATAAAACCCCATAGTAACTCTCCAAGCTCAGTGGTTAGCAGGTGATAATAAATGCGGGTTCATCCATTTTTCAGTCACGACGAGTTAGAGCAACTCTACTGACTCTGAGTGTTATAGACAGTGGAGAGCACCTGTCATCATCGTCCAGCTGTAGCACCCTTTCGGTGCCTAGCCGCCATGCCACACGAAGGAGGCACGAGGGCTGGGATACTGCCAGGTTGCCCAAGCCTAGACAGGAGAAGTCGAGTGGCAGAGGTCGGGTTCGAACCACGGACCTTCCGGTCAGTAAATTAGCGCTCTAACCACTTGGTCCATCTCGCATCTGTAGGCCAAATAATGACCCTCCAGACTGCACTGATAAGCCCTTGAGTTGGCGGTCAAGAGAAGGAACTAGCGAGTGGGATGAACAAATCAGGTGCGTATTCAAAACAGGGTAGGGAAAATGGGAGATCGATAACGGATGCCGTAAAGTGAACTCGAAACCAAATTAGACTGGAAATAAAAATTGCCCAAGACTCACCAAGTATGGATGCTGTGAATCTCCAGGTTGATGAGATCCACAACCTGATTCGATTCATCCACAGTAGATGGGCATTCTGAAAGGAAGCATGCGAAACGGACTTACACAGAAGGCGACATATAGACCAGCGCTGCCAACATATTCATATGTTCGTTTCAGAAAGGTTTGTTAAACAATGGTAGTTTTAAACTGGGCAACATTTCGCCTTTGACACAGAAGATTCGTCAGGCCGAGCAATTAGGTTACCAAGCTGGCCGAGTTCGGAGGCAGACGGAGAACCAATCAACAAGACTCCTTCCGAATACCAAACTAAATCAGTGTTGAATGTCGGTTAGTGTGGTTGCTGACGAGTTGGTGGAATTTCAAATCAAGTTTAATCGGATTTGGGTCTTTCGTCTTATAGCTCAAGGCACTTCAATTGATAATTTAACTTGGATGTCCTACTTTTTATTCATACTCAGACACTTTGCAGTTTCCACCACCGCGGCCACCAGTCTGCGGCCTCAAAACTTCAAGATTTCATGTATTTATTTTTTGTCCCGTGCCAAATGCGTGTCCCGTCATTGCTCAGCCTTTCAGTAAAACTAATTATTCACCCACTTTTCTCGGCGACATGTCCATTTTTCTTTTACCCTCGCACAGTAACAGCATTTAGTTTTGTGTACACAGTCCCTGGTTGTATTCACCGGGAGGCGATCCTTCAATTGCACCAGTGCGCACAGTGTTTGGAATTCTTCGAATGACTTCTGATATCCCCGGTTTATATAGAATAACAGAAGTCCCTGACGGTTTTCACCAAAGGCGACAATACCCTTCGTAACTGACACCAAATCAGACAAGCTGGATATCCACCACCCCGATATTTGTTCTTTATTTCGGTTTGAGCCGCTGTCTAATCAACTTCTTGTGTGAATAGGGCCCTTACTCGGAAAACATATTCAGATTCTCCGGCACAACATTCGATCCAACTAATAAACAAACAAGATGTTTCTCCTCGTTGCAAATATTAGGTGTAAGTAATACAAAGCTTTTTTCTGGTTGTCAACGATCAACGACTTATAGTGGATTAACTGTTAAATCCACTCCAGTCAAGTCATCAACAGCGCTACTTTCTAATGCCACACAAGTGCGGACTGCAATGATAACATGGTAACGACATAGTCTCGTAGCAGAAACCGGTTGGTGATAAAAATGGGAGAAAAACGAACTAGAAATATAGAATAAGCACTGCGTTCTTCCGAAACAATCCATTTAGGATGGATCAGGAGCACAATCAGTCTTCCGAAGACTGCCCCAGACGACGGTTCGGTAACTCAAAGCTGCAGCATTTCAATGAGTTTTGTGAAGTAATTTGCAGTAAAACCACTCGTATATAAATGAACAAACCTGACAGAGGAAGCTTCCGTCTGTCGCAAGGGCCTAGTGCAAACAAGATACATGGTGTGGTCAGTAAAAATTCGCTGATGGACGTAAACATCAATGTTTGTGAATCCGATGAATCTCCCTCAGCGTTTGGTTCACTCGTGGACTGTTTGGTCAAGGCAAGGATGTACAGAACCTGAAAGGCAGGTAAGGAGCACGAGTTACTGCAATAATCACAGCGAAACGGCTTTCAAAGCGCACAGGACACAAGTAAACACAAGCAAAAATTGAAGGAGTAGCATGACACACACCGGTGCCAAACAACCGAATGTATGAGGTTACCGCGCAGGCAGTTTCACTCGTTTGTCTTGTTTCATAAACGAGACAAATATGAACACAGAATCTGAAATATGTCAAATATATCGACAGCCGTTGTCTCAGAATCACTGCCCGCATATGTTCAAGTTCGAAACAATGTGGTTGAAAAAAAGAGTGAAGTGGCCCGCACCGCACATGAAAAAGTGATTGTTCACTCGAGCGAACACAATCACTGTCGTCTGAACTGCAAACGGGAAACAGCACACATTTTCTGCGTGTCCAGCACAAAGTCTGATTTTTACGGTATCCTTTGATGTTCGAACAAGCAAGCTGGCCAACAGGCTGTTCTCGCGTACACACTTCATTGGTGCGGCAATTGAGCTGACGGCAAGACTTGATACCATACGCGGCGAAAAATCTGGAAGTTATACTGAACGTTTTCCTATAATTGTACTGGTTTCAGGCGCATATGAAGATTCTGAGCATACCTTCGTCCAGCGTAGAATTTCGCTGAATTACCCGAGGAAAACCTAAGGAGCAAACTCTTCGTTTAGAAGTCGGAAAGCTATCTGGAACACGAATTTAGCGACCATACAAAGAACTACCAGATAATGTGACAAACGGTGACTCCCAACAGACAGCAATCCAGACAAATGGGATGATGTAACCAGGTCACGTAGTAAACTCAACCAGTGGAGCTTCAGAGGGCACATACACACTTGACACTGAAGCTGAGAAGCTGTGTTTGCAATTCCGGGACAACAGTATAATTTGGCTGAAGATGTCAAGGCGATTGAATTCTAATGTTTGGGGAAAGACGTGGTGACACCTGAAGGTCAAAAATTAGAGGACTGGTAGTGCAGCACTAAATGCACAGAAATGGATTCAATCAAACCGCAATGCAAGATCCATGAAACCAGTGACTCAATCAGAGATACTACTCCAAATTAAGCATACATGATAGAAGCGGGTAAATAGGTCACTGGGGAGAACATTTTCAACAATTTCTTTGGACACTAGCTTCTATCTTTCATCTGATCCGCTCAACTCGACTCGCCATCTGTGATTTTACGCTCTTTCAGTTTATAGCACAGTAATATACCTTTCTCCTTTGTATCGCTTGGGCTTCCACCAGCGTCACTTAAAGACCGTGGTCTTTCAGTTTACAGTAATATACCTTTCTCCTTTGTATCGCTTGGGCTTCCACCAGCGTCACTTAAAGACCGTGGTACATCTGTTTGCCCTGTCTTTACTATGCGTTTTTCTTGAGTTGGGTTTGCAAAGTAAATGAGTGCATGTTGCTAAAATAAGGAGTCGTTTGTACAGCCTTACAACCATCATGACGCGGCTACTGGTTCCAGTAATACTGTGACAACTGACTCATGAACGTGAAACTACGAACATCAAGCGAGATTTCAGCCCGATCGAAAGTGCATTGATCATCTCTTTACACTACACGCCCCACATACCACTGATCAACAAGTGTGATTTTCCTCAAATTCAAAGAAACCGCTAACTCCTAGGAATAAGATTCTGCATACTGTGAACCAGTATTTGGAAATATACGCTATCTCTATCCTGTAGGAGTTTACGACGAAATACCGGAAAAATCCCCTACAACTTTAGTAAGCATCTGTGTTCTATTCGCGTTGTTCAGCCTTGTCATTAGGGTCAGTGCGGAACACCCAATTCAAGGGATTAAGGATCCTGATACCAAAATTACACTTAGAAATAGACCAGTGGATTTCGGTGATGGGGATGACACTGCTTTGCTACTTGCGATCGATAGTCCATAGTCTACTGTAAACCGAATCGCGGAAGTAATCTTTCATTTCGGTAAGCACATTGCACCTTTAAAGTGCATGACGTTCAGTCCCCCTGTGACCCTATCAAACCTTAGGAAGAAGGACCTGGCATCCTGACCCGTTTGGTGTGACCGCATAATATACGCATCATCAAAGAGCGAGGAAAATTTGCGAACATACACCATTTTTGGCGTCCAAAACAGAGTAACCTGAAGCTAAATGGCACAAATCAATCGAATGATCCGTATCATTCTACGGTTTTAAAATCCAACCCCTGTCTTCGAAGCAGAGAAGACGTTTATTACTTATATATTTATCGTTCAGCTGTAACACTCTTCCGGTGCCTAGCTGCCATGCTACCCGAAGGAAGCACGAGGGCTGGGATACTGCTAGGTTGCCCAAGCCTAGACAGGGGAAGTCGAGAGGCCGAGGTCGGGTTCGAACCACCTTCTGGTCAGTAAATTCGCGCTCTAACCACTGAGCCATCTCGCCTGAGCAGACGTTAGTTAGCTGCGGCGTGTTTGCAACCGAGTAATAAGAGCTGAATGAGAATCACCAGAGCAGCGAGTGAAACTCATCGGCTTAAATTAGCCCGAACATGTACTTCGCATGCTCAACCACCGCCTGCCGAGGAAACCATTGTTTTTAAATCCGAATCCTTGCCGGTGGAAAAGGAGAACAGAGGAAGTGTAATGGGAAAATAGTGGCTGTAAAGATATACTGGGCTGAAGAAACCAAACGTCATGCATTTTTCGTGCGAACTTTCCATCCAGTAAGTAGAAAGCATGAGGGCTGAGATGCTATGCAGTACAGAAGGAGCCCGGATTGTAGGACTTGAAGCCGAACTAGTCGTACATCGAATTCGCAATCGAAACGCGTGTTTAGTGGCAGCACGTTCGTGGCCAGTAAAAGCCACTAGCCACAAAATACAGACTCAAGCATCCTCTTTGAACGCACTATTGAAAACAAATGCCTGGACCCCAACGCTGAAGTCCCGAGTAAACAGAGGTGACATAACAATGGCACAGAATCCATACAAGCAGGAGCGGGGCTAATAGATGTACTCGCTCTTCCAGAAGCAATTAGAAGAAACTGAACATTTTACGTATTCCCCCAAGTAAACGAAACATACAAGCAAGCAGTCCAACATGGATATTTCCAACAAGAAAAAACTTCCCAGGCTGATCAGTACTGATCGAATGATTACGATCAGTTGATGGTAATCAATCAGTGGCAAGTCACCGTTCCCCAGTCGTGCCCAAATCAGTAATCACTAAATAGTCTCAAAAATGAGTCGAGTCTGTAAATGCCTAACTCAATTCAATGGTGGGTGATCGCTTAGGAAGTGAACAAAAGACAACCTCCAAGCGGCTAGCACTAACAAACAGAACGTACATCCCTTGCCGGGTTTATCCGTACCTACCTGACGTTGCAGTGTCGATGATAATGAATAACTACCTGACAAGAAAGTTTGGATGTGAGGACAAGCCGACGATGACAACGAACCCTCTCAATGCCGGAATTTAATCTGCGAGCGCCGGTGGGCTACAGAACCCAAACTATTCCCAGCCCAGAAGAGCACCATGACAGCAGAGAAGCAGCGGTATTATAGGGAATATAATTAGATCACTGAAGACCAATTGGCATTGGAAACCGCAGATTAATAAGTGGTGACCGATGAGACCTTCGATTAGGTACAATGGACTATTACAGACTAAGATGTTTACAACCTAAAGGAAATGGAGTAGATCAGTTCATACTGAGTTGTACGACCTGATCCGATAGGAAAACAAATATTGAGATTAATAATCAGGAGTTATCTGTGGGTGGAAATTTTTTCTAAGAAATAGAATCTTCTCGGGTTGAGTAAGATGAGAAAAATCGTTCATCGCCTGATAGCTCAGCTGAATCCTGTGGAAGTTCGATTTCAGATACACGAGTTGACTCCTGTTCTTCAGTAGCCGCATTCTGATTTTCATTATATGAAGCTTCCTCTACTTCTTGTTCGTCACTATCCTGACTGTCTTCAACATCATACGGTTCCAGAGATGGCAGAGAATAGGCAGGATGCTGTGGAGTCAAAGATATGGGTTGTTCCTCATACCGAGAAGAACTTGTACGTTGAGTCCAGGAAGAATACAAGTCAGCAGTATTTCTTTTGTTTTGAGAAGTGAAAAGTCCACATGAACTCGCTTCAGACAGAGGAGCTGAACAGCATTGATTTTGTGAGGAACAGTCTTCCGCCCTGCCTGGCTCTGGCTCTTGTTCGTTAGATGCATCAGGCGATTCCACTTGCTGAGTTGATTGTACGGTTACCTCTGCGGTTATCGTTTGTGTTGAAGTCGACTCAGAAGGCTGAGAATCCGAAGCAGCAGGTCGCTTAGGTCGTTTCGCTGTACTCTTTGACCGTGATCTGCTAAGAGACATTGAACGGCCACGTTTGCGCGTACCAGAAGTAGTTCGACTACTGTGAATCCGAGAAGAACGTGAACATGAGCGGGTTACTGGACCCGAAAGACGTCGCGATCGAAGCACGCGGCGTGATGCATTATTTGAAGCATCTAAAGAAGGTCGACTATCATCGGTACCATCCGACACCGTAGGCGGAGGATCCGCAGGTGTTGTGACAGACAAGAATGGTTCGGTAGTCGCCACATCGCCCATCATTGTTGCAGAATGATTGCAAGTGGAAGGTACCGACGCTCGAGCAGCAGTTCGAATGGACTGTCTTCTCCGGGTTGTAGATCGAACAGTGTGTTCAGAAATCCGTCGAGTACCGGATAAATGACGGGTTGTTTGTCGCATTCTTGTGAGGATTTACAAAAACAACTGCCTCCCGGAATGGAGTTCTTAGAGAATTTGAACGAGGATCGATAATTACCATCGAACCGTATGCGCAGTCCGGAAAACACGTGACCTCACCTTTCAGCTTAAACAACTAAACTGTGCGGTCTGGTAAAAAAAGGTAAGGTTCACCTAAACACCGTGGGAACCTGGGTATGTGAGAAATGAATTAAAAAATCGGTAAACTACTGGCGGCTTTCCATCTGATGTTAATAACTGATTTATCAAGCAATGGTACTGCACGAACAATACATGAGAAAACAATCGATTTAATTTGAAAGGGGCGGAAAATAAACCTATTCTATGGAGTCCAGTAAGCGTAAGCCAGGGTATGCCTAAACTAAACGAAGGGAATCCACAATAACACAGTTGCTGTGCCCTACCTGGGTGGACACATGAAATCCACAGAGAGCACCGGGGTCAAACTATTACCAGAGAAGGATGTGTGGTTCTAAATCCCTCTGACACGTGAAGGCGGTAAACAAAACATAATCCTGTCACCGAAAAATCAAATGAACCTACCAGCCGAACATATGGAATGGTTAGAAATAGACTAGCAAGAGTTCGCAGGAAAAAAAGAAACGAAGAAACCTGTCATGCTATTTCATCAGTAAACCAGGTCATCATCATTGTCAGCTGCAAAAACCGCGTACTTGCCGTGCAGTAGTTCTAAATGTCACAGTTTCGTTCGCCGATGATTCAGGGAGGTGGGCTAAGTAGCTACGCATTAAAGGTAGTAGCTGATATAAGTGACGCGCAAATACAGCGATGCCAGTGAACTTTCACAGGAGAGATCCCGACGGGAGGTGTGTATTGGAGGCAACATTTTGCATGCACGCACCATTGGGCACCATCGGGTCACGTTAGTCAATGTTTTTGACCATTGATGCGTCTCGTCTCGGGGTCCCCATCCAGGAAGACTGCACTGACCAGCGCAGCTGGGTTTACTAGTAATGACCTTCAGACTTCACTGCTAAGTCATTGTTTGACCTCCCCTGGATGGTTGCCATCCTTTATGTGGTTGCGCGAAGAGTCCTTCAACGAAGTCGGCATACAGAGCACTTGATTAAGTGTGATTGAGTGTGACCAGTTCATCCATCAGATGGAAAAATCATCTTTGGCTAGACCACCTGGAGTGATACAGTTATCCGGGTGGACGAATTTGTCTACCACCTCAATCGGCTCGGTCACAAGCATGAGGCTAGGGTTAGAGCCCACCCAGTGTTGCAGCAGCACCATACACTTTGCAGGTGTGAGAGATAAAGGTAATCAGTCAGCTGTAACCCCCTTTCGGTGCCCAGCTGCCATACAACCCGAAGGAAGCACGAGGGCTGGGATACTGCAAGGTTGCCCAAGCCTAGACAGGGGAAGTCGAGAGGCAGAGGTCGGGTTCGAACCACGGACTTCCGGTCAGTAAATTCGCGCTTTATCACTTGAGCCATCTCTTGTTGGTGTGAGGCGCATGCCAAACCATGAGGCAGAATTATTTACGATAGCAAAATTGTTGGCACGTCCCAGAAGAGCCATGTTGTCTGTCTACTCGATAGGTGTAGGCGGTGCGGTGAACTCAGGCGAGAGCTTCCCTTAAACCTTCACACAGCCATGGAAGTTGGCGCACAGCGCCTTGAGGAGGGTCAAGGAAATATGGGAGACACTTCTGCTCCATAGACACTGCCATAGTGCCTGACGAGCCAAGGAGTCAAAGGCAGCTTTCAAGTCAAGAAACACAACCATTGTCGGTTTCTGGAAGCAGTGTCGCTGTTCCAGAATCTGTCGGAGGGTGAAAATGAGATCAATTCATCCTCTTACAGGATGGAACCGAGAATGGTTTTCACGGATCTGTCTCTCCCTGTGTTTAGTCAACCTTCGATGCGAAAGTTTGTAGTATAGGGGTTAGGGGACCAGAAACAGCTCATGATCAGCGTACAACTACTAATAGACAGTTTTTGTGTCGAGAGGCTTGATTGAGTTTGATAACCTGATGCCGAAAAGGCATAGGGTGTTCAACTCTGGGGCTGAGTGCAACTCTCATGCCATATACCCCCCGAGTCATCGCTCCTGGATCATCGGACACATGGAGAGTGAAGAATGAGTTCGTCCTTGAAGTTTTGAAATGTATAACCGCACTTGAGCCTCGCAAGCTAGTTTCAGAGACACAGCACACATCAATTTTAAGGGAGTATAGGGTATCAGCGAGCATTGCCTGTTCGCCAAAGAAGTACGGAAGCTGTGTAGAAAGAATTTCGTGGTTCATTGGCAATAGGCGGTAGTCAGTGTATAAGGTACATCCGTTAGATGATCCAGCAACGTTAGCTTGTGTGGTGGGAAGGGGTTAGGGAGGGACATCAGTGGACACAGAACTGTGAGGGCAAACGATGCTTCCCAGTCGTCCAATCCGAGTAAGAGGATTTGGATAAGCTTCCCCATCTTGAGCCTTCAACTAAAAATACGACCCAGAAGACAACGGGAGGACGTAGGGTTTTGTTCGGAAACCCTACCTCTCGTCTAACTCAAAAACCTGAACCACAAAGCAGCGGGCAGTGGTTTTTTTGGGGGGAGGAGGGAGGAACATGCCCGGAACCGTTGATTCAATAGCTTGACCTGCTCGGCTGTGAGATGCCGGTCTTAGCTGAGAACGCAGGGACTGAGGTATTACTGCCTCGGTCCTCATGCGGCTGCGCACACCAGGTACCTTTCGAACAGCACCGGAGTCTTTGGTTCTAAAAGAATTTCGACCGTGTTGAATAATGCACCGGCGGTCACGTTCAACGGAGTGTGCAGCTTTTGGGGTCGACATTTTCTAACCTGTCCTTCCTCGGAGGAAGGCGGCATCGGTGCTCCCATGACTATGGACAGGCTGGTTGCCTAGGCGAACACACTGCTTTCACACTCCTATCTCAGAGGATAGTATGACTTTCCCCCAGACCGCCTTGTAGCACGGCTACTCGTAGTACGGGGTCCCGCTGCTCCCATTTAGCCTTCCTAGGGGACGAATTTCAAGCCAGTGTAGCCCGCGGGATTATCGCGCAAATCAAGCCTGACCACCATGTCAGGGTGAAAATTGTAGGTCGCGCGATAAATCCTATAACCACCTGTACGCCTGAAAAGCAACTACTAGTATCAAGCACATACCAGGGATAATTCACCTGAGATATTCAGTCAAGGAGAGACTAGAGACCAGATTACAGAAACACAGAAACCGTACACTGATCAAACAGGGATCAAATTTACGGCCTTTCAAAAGCATATAGTTGTTTCCGAGACTACTGAAGCCAAAGACATACCCATGGCCTCTCGACTGCTTTCATCTAGGATTGGAAAAAAACTGGCAGTATCAAGACCCTTGTGCCTCAAAAGCAAAAGAGTGATATGAGTTCTTTCAAAGTTTTGGACACCACCCCCAATTCCCCTCCGAATTTTTCATGCGAACTGAATGTAATGCGCCGTGTCCACTCGGTTCCAGCCCTGGTTGCTGCGTGCAACATGAAAAGGAACTTGAATTCTAAAATATATGATGAGGCCACCCACGTAAACGTATTTGAATTAGCGAATTTTCCACTCATATTACCTATCCAAGGCGACTCCACAAGGAGATGCTAGAAAGTGAATTGTCTCATCCTTGAGAAATCGACATATGAGTCCGGAAACACCCACAAAACCACCTACCCTGGGATCAGGTCAGGTGTACCACAAATCCAGGCTATGTTGCTACATTAACGGACTGAAACCCACGCTGTACAACGGTGAAACATCCTTTCGGCGCTCATACTGCCTAGGCTTGGGAAACCTGGCAGCATCTCAGCCCTCGTGCTTTCCTGGCGTGGCATGGCACCTAGATACCGGAAGGGTGTAACAGCTGAATGATTTTTTTCGCGTTCAAGAGAAAGCAGTTTACAACCGAAATGCTGTTTGCACGTCTGCCAGCGACAACGGCGATGAACCATCGTCAGCAACATCTATGAGCAAATTAGCGCAAATCAACCAGATGTCTTACGTGCATTACCCCCTTTTCGGAGATAAGGACATACGTGCGAGATAAGGACATACGTATTCTTTTTAGAGCAGATGGGATGGTATTGTCAACTATGTGAATTCTCGCACTTTGATGGTAAGGCATTATCTGCGGTATTGGAGATTTACAGGGTCCCAGGCTTCCTCTACGATGGTCGCCATTGATCGGCCACGAATGCTCCGTCGAGCTTTCCTAAATTCTCGTGACTACAGATTCAATTAACAGGGAATAACCATGCTGGACCTCTGTCTACAGCGTACCCCTCTCCGAAGAGCCAGTTCTTGAGTGGTCTCGTTGGTGGCTTTACTGTATCCTTTTCAGAGCAGAAATACGATTGCTACAATTGAAAAATGCTACTCTAAACCGAAAGGACTTGGCAACAAAAATCAAAGGGGATCTGGATGGTGACACAACCAGGAAAGAGAGTGGTCAGATTCAACATACTAACTTACACGACGTGTAATATCGGCTGCCACCAATAAAGAACCGGAGCAGTCGAGTCCCATGATAATACTAGGTCTTGCACTGGGTACTGACGAGCTAAATTGTGCTTCGGAAGTGTCTGATATCGCCTGACTGGTCCTCTCGGCAACGCAAAATCGCAGGGTTTGTAAACAAGACCAATCCGAACAAGACCAAAGACGCAGTTCGCGATTGTATTGGGCTCCTGTAATCAAATGTCTCCAAGTACCACTGTAAGAGACAACCAGACAAGTATGACAGAATGAATGAGATTGTTTGTAGGCGCTCGTACAAAGCATTCGGGGGATTAGCTGATCAAACTTGCCAAAGTTCAGAGTCTGGTTGACAAAATAACCAACAATGTGAGCATAAACACGTATTTCAAAGGCAGCAATGAGAGTTTGGAATGGGACAGTTTCGCTTCGTTCGTGCTGACAAACAGACACGACAATCCTGAACTCGACTGTATGGGCTTTGTTGTTGTAGGGTTGGGAATTTGGACTTTCAGGAAGTATGATTTTGACCAGCTACGATAGGTCGACGATGCGATCGTAAAACACAATGATGAGAAATCAGGTACTTCACTTGCTCAATGCATACATCACTACAAACTTTGCACGACGAGCATCGTTCTCCACGACAAATTCGAGGTGGCACAGACTAAAAAAGGTGGGTAACAAATGATAAAAGAGAAGAAAACTCTGAGTGCAATCGTGACTTTTCTCCTCCTCCTCTTCTCCCTGTGCTTAGCTGATAAGGCTGTAATGTTGTGGCGTACTGTAAGTGGCTTTTGTGGTGTCAGTTTCAAATTCGATTGTCTGATTGGATGGCTGGCACCCTAAGTGTCCGTTGCGGGCTACAACTGGCTAACCATATAATGTTGATGCCTCAGTTCAGTTCTCGGTCTGGAACTCCCAAGGTAGCATTTTGGTGGACAAACCACCAAAGACATACAAAGTGTATAAAAGCCCAAAAACACATGTACAAACGTCTTCTTTAAATTTCACGCGGCGACAACATACTGTAAAATCGGGTCCCTTCTGGGCTGGCCATTAGCATCCGGTATTCCGCCGATATTTAATCATACTGAGTTGAGTCCGCGACTCCACAAGATGTTGGGCGATTTGGTTGTGGGACGCCACGATCAATAAGATCTGAACACCGCATCATAAGCGAAACTATAAGTCTACACGAAGCTTGAACACGCATCCCTCCTGATCGAGAATACAGGGGAATTCGACGAACTACCAAGGGAAAAATAGCGTCTGAGCGGCCCCAACTACCGAAGAGTTAGAGGAATTCAGAAGTTATCATCAGCATCATCATCATTGCCAGTTGTAAGGACCGCGTACTTGTCGTACAGTGGTTGTAGCTGCCGCAGTTTCGTTCACCGATGATTTGGGTAGGTCAGAAATTCTGGGGATGTGCAGGACTATCCCAGCTGATACAAAAGGCACGTCGAAAAACGAGCTTGGTGAGCGAAACAACCAATGAGAGGAACCACTTGCTCAATTCAGAAGAACACCTGAATCGTTTGGTTTCGCACTGTCAACAACAATTAAACTAGCCATCTGTATTCACCAATACGCATCATCATCATCATGGACAGCAGGACATCAGCGTTCAATACTGATGCATCGCTGTCGTACAACTACGATTCATTTGAAAGTCTTATTGTGAAGAAAAGTATAAAGGTGGGCAAAGAAGGAACTAAGTGTTACCTTGCTACAACCAGTCCGAGGTATCTACACCCCCAGACACTCATTCAGGCAATCTAGGTAGGAACTGACAACAATGAGGCCCCTGACATCGACTAGCCGTCATATCTTGGAGCGTCTCCAACCACGTGGGGGCGAGATGGGTGTTGCCAGAGCGCAAATTTACTGATCTAAAAGGGCCATTTCAAACTCGACCTCCGCATGTAGAGTTCCCCTGTCTAGGCTCATTTCAAACTTGACCTCCGCATCTAAAGTTCCCCTGTCTAGGCTTGAACAACCTGGCGGTATCCCAGCCCTCGCGTTGTCTTCGGGTAGCATGGCAGCTAGACACCGAAAGTGTTACAGACGAACAATTTTTTTCAGCCAATGATGTTAAAATAAGTGTTGGTGCCGTTCGCTCACTGGGATGACGAACAGTTTTTTCAACCAATGTTGTTAAAATAAGTGTTGGTGCCGTTCGCTCACTGGGATGACGTTCACTCAACCCTTCTTGGGCTTGAATAGTGACAATGAAAGATAAGGCAGCCAAACGACATCAATAGCGTTACTGCCGTCGGTTTCTCTAAAGATTGTCTGACTGAGTCCTGGAGGTGTAGACACTTCGGATATTTGTGACAGGCTGGATTTCGGTCCACAACTATGTCCAGCATTACATTTTTTCCTCTCCCCATCTCCTTTCATTTTTTCTTTTTCCTTCTCTTTTTTAATCGTTACCAATGATGGTGATGCTGATACTCTCATTATGTGCCTTTGCTCTAACAAACTAACATGGTTGCATGGAAGCAAAGCACTAGTGCTCTCTAATGTTACTGTCAGTGATGATGATGAAAATGTTTCTCCCGGTGACCGATTAACCTGCGCAACATATCACCAGAAAGCATCTTGATGCTACGGCTACCAGGCTGAGGCTATGACGGTCTTCGAAAGGCGTTCTTGCGTCCCTTCTAAGGACTGGAATCCCGACCCAGTGGCAGCTAATCGACACCAATGGCGTTCATGCTGCCAGTTTCTTGTCAGATTATCTAATTGAGCTCCCGGAGGTCTAAACACCTCAGAATGTCCGCGATAAGTTAGTACCAGGTCTCTCCTTCGTCTTCCCCTTTCTCTTTTTTTCACTTTAGTATTTTGGGTAAAATTAAACAAACTTTGTGACTGTACGACAGTGAAGCATCAGCGACAACAATAAAGTTGATGTTTCTGATGATGACGAATACCTGATAAATGCCTATTATAACCGTGCCCTAATAGTAACTCCAACAAGACTGGTTGCTTTGCATGGATTAACAACCAACCGAACTTCCAGTGTTCTGTACAGGTCCAGATATCATTTGTAACAGTCGTCAAATCCCAAATCAGAAGCCCATGTGGTGCCGCAGCGGATTCCCTTTCCATAAAGTCAAACACGAGATGAATCGACTAATTCAAAAGATACTAATATAAAAAACAATTGCTCAGAGGGGCAACGTACTTGAAACCGTCTATAGTGTCATCATCGACAAAAATTAAGCCGTGCAGTGGAAGCCCAGCATGTGGCGAGAAAGTGTGTACCGGACTGAAAAGGAGGGTGAAGAAAGATGAACATTGCACCAAAATTAAGGCGCACAGAACAACATCAAAATACCCTATTCCAGAAAAGTGAAACCGCAATACAAAAGTTCACGTGTATAATGAAAACGTTAGCATCCTAGAAGAAATGCTGCATTTTGAATCCCAAATTTCTGATGTCACTAGAATACGGGAACGGCAAATGATATGCTGTGGGTAGCTGAGTGGTGTTCCTATGCGGCAGCTCATCACTGACAGCAAGGTTTCACACTGGCTTGCCATCAAGGTAGGTTAAACCACAGAAGAGTAACCGTAGTATCTAAACGGTTGGCAGGGTTCAACGAAAGGCCCGAAAGGACAGATGCTGTGGGACATATTACCTTCTCGTAGTCACACATTGGTTGTTCTTTTTAATAACTCTCAGTAAGCAGACCCAATGATGCACAAAGGTTTCCTGCAACTTCCCATGGAAACATTATTTTAATTTTCACCCTTCTGATGAGTGTTTGTGACCCACCAAGAAGTTACCGCTTCAGAAAGTTCAGGTAAATAAGTTCACCGATTGTGCACTAGAACCTCCGGAAACGATGTGCATTTACTTTTCTTATTGCCGACGAATGATGCACGCATACGTGAGCAGATGGACCGAGTTGGTGACACAACTACTCTCCCACCACAAAAGGACCCCTTACAAAATATTGTACCTACTCAAACTGACAGCTTGCGCTATAAAAAGGACACCAAACAGTAAGCTTCTCGAAACAGAAGAGACCCTTATCCCCTATTAGGCTTTAATACATAAAACCTGTAGGCAGCCTTCTCCACCACTTTCGGAATTCGTCTAACCGTATCGATCATACGGACCCATCTGACTAACTAAGGTGACAAGTGGAACTGGTCGAAAATAACCTCATTTGCACGCAATGCTAATAACATAGTAGCTCAGCTGCTTTCGGTGCCGGGCTGCCGTGTCACCAGAAAAAGGCACGAGGACTGAGATACTGCTAGGATGTCCAAACCTGGACGGCAGTAGTCGAAATGCCAGGTTTAAGTTCGAATCACGAACCTCCCGGTCAGTAAGTTCGCACCTTAGTTACTGAGCTATCACGAACTCTGCGCATCAGTCTGATTGAAACGGCTGAGAGACGACTGAATTCACCTGGAACTCTCATCTATACTGTTCATCAACTCAGTGTGCTACTCTTATAACTGGAACACGCCACGATAACTGCTATATGTGTCTGCCCGTTGTATCATCTTTGATAGCAATACATTCGTACAAGAAACTGGTGCCTGAATGGATACAACTATGAAGGAAAATTCTGTTAAAGATTGTAGGGAGGTCCGCGTTAAGGTAGGATAGTAGTTCACCGGGACACACTCTTGCTGACAAGGCGGTTCAAATAGGTTAATCCCACCACACTAAAGTCAGTCAAGTAACACAGGCGGGAGTCTATCCAGTTCAACAGCCCGATAACGTTTCAAGGCACAAAGACACATTGGGAGCTCAGAAAAGAAGAGGGGCTCGAAGGTGATGGAACACGTCAATATTTGAACGAGTCTAATGGGACGTACAGAGCAATTCAACTGCGGTTGGGAATACTGTGTCCAACTAGCCCTGATTGTGTTAGATTTCCAAAGCGGTCCCTGATTGATTAATTATCAGATGATCGCCAATGTCCCGTTGTTGGTACTAGCGAAAACAAGTCCCATACAGTCCACACAGCATAAGCATCGTCCGTTTTTTGCGTTCTATCTCCACCATGTACCTCTGCCTAGACACAAAAAGGGACTTGAGTTGACGTCTCCCGACCCAAAGCTGTCACCTTATGGTGGTGGTCGGGCTTAAGTGCTTGCTGGGTCTTGCGAGCTATACTGGGTGGAACTCAGTTATTAAAGTTTCAACCATGCCAGGAAGGTCAACGGCGAGCAGCCCGCCGAAGAACAGTGAGTAATCGTATTACAAGGCAGTCTGGAGTTAACGTCATACTGTCCTCTGCGATAAAAGTGCGAAAGCAGTGTGTTCTCCTAG